AGATTAATTAATCAAAATATCATGTAATTAATTAGATTACAAATTTTAATCGACTGACAGCCCTAATATATAAATATTAGTGCTGGGCAACGATTAATCGCGATTAATCACATCCAAAATAAATGTTTTTGTGTACATAATATATGTGTGTGTACTGTGTATATTTATTATGTATATATAAATACACACACATGCATGTATATATTTAAGAAAAATATGTTATGCTTATATATTAAATATATTTATATATAATATAAATTATATGAATATAAATATATACATGTAAATATTTTTTTAATATATACTGTATGCCCTGTCTTTAAATATACATAATAAATATACACAGTACACACACATATATTATGTAAAACTTTTATTTAGGATGTGATTAATCCTTGCCCAGTACTAATATATATATATATATATAGAAAGAAAGAGAGAGAGCGAGAGAGAGAGTCATGCTATGAAATGCATGAAGATGATGAACAATGCAAATAGTCTTTAATAAATCCACACAAGGGTAAATCCAAGACAGAACAGGCAGGAGACACATGTAGGGATGTAGTAGATTGCACGACAAACAGAGAACAGAACACAACTAATATAGGAGGGCTGATGAGGTAATAAATGACACACACACCTGAAACCAATGACATAATCAAACGAATGTATGTGAGATATATATATATATATATATATATATATATATATATATATATATATATATATATATATATATATAGTAAAGATCACTACAAACCAATGAAGACCTCTGTAAACCAGAACAGACGTGTAAAAAACTAATATAAACCAACACAGGTTAAAGACCACTGCAAACTGCTAAAAAAGTCACTCCTTTTCATTTATTTTACATTTATTTTTTAATTAATATAAAGTCATATATATTATAATGTAATTATATTACATTATATTTCTCTAATTTATTATTAAAATAATTAATATTCAGGGGTAAAAACATCTTAGATCAACAAAATACGAAATTAAAATAACTTTAATTGTGCTAGACATATAAATAAATAAATAAACTTAAAAAGAAAGGTCAATGCAGACTATCAAAAGCCAGTGAAGACCACTACAAACCATGAAGGCCACTACATAGACCAGGGGTCTGTTTCATAAAACAAGCTTACCAGATAAGCCAGGCTTATTTCAGTTAGTCTGACTTATTTTGAACCAAATCAACTGACAATACGTCAGACTAACTGAAATAAACCTGGCTTATTTGGTAAACGTGTTTTATGAAACAGGCCCCAGAAATGACTGAGCAAGAAACATCACTGCAGCTGAGGAAGACTTGAACAAGTCTCTGTTTTTGTTGTCACACTGCAGCCCTTCCCACAGATGAAGCTACTTAAGCACAATTACATCACTCCTGAGTCAATAATGGTTCCTATTAAACACGAGCGAATCAGTGAAACACTGCAAGAGCAGAAACAAAAGAGAAAGATGTATGTGAGATATATATATATATATATATATATATATATATATATATATATATATATATATATATATATATATAGTAAAGATCACTACAAACCAATGAAGACCTCTGTAAACCAGAACAGACGTGTAAAAAACTAATATAAACCAACACAGGTTAAAGACCACTGCAAACTGCTAAAAAAGTCACTCCTTTTCATTTATTTTACATTTATTTTTTAATTAATATAAAGTCATATATATTATAATGTAATTATATTACATTATATTTCTCTAATTTATTATTAAAATAATTAATATTCAGGGGTAAAAACATCTTAGATCAACAAAATACGAAATTAAAATAACTTTAATTGTGCTAGACATATAAATAAATAAATAAACTTAAAAAGAAAGGTCAATGCAGACTATCAAAAGCCAGTGAAGACCACTACAAACCATGAAGGCCACTACATAGACCAGGGGTCTGTTTCATAAAACAAGCTTACCAGATAAGCCAGGCTTATTTCAGTTAGTCTGACTTATTTTGAACCAAATCAACTGACAATACGTCAGACTAACTGAAATAAACCTGGCTTATTTGGTAAACGTGTTTTATGAAACAGGCCCCAGAAATGACTGAGCAAGAAACATCACTGCAGCTGAGGAAGACTTGAACAAGTCTCTGTTTTTGTTGTCACACTGCAGCCCTTCCCACAGATGAAGCTACTTAAGCACAATTACATCACTCCTGAGTCAATAATGGTTCCTATTAAACACGAGCGAATCAGTGAAACACTGCAAGAGCAGAAACAAAAGAGAAAGTGCAGCAATCTGGAGGTTTACTGTAAACAACTCATTCACTGTGAACTGCTCACTGCATCGCGCACATCAGCACCAGACACTTACAGATTAAAGGGGTCATATGATGCGATTTCAATTTTTCCTTTCTCTTTGGAGTGTTTCAAGCTCTTGGTGCATAAAGAAGATCTGTAAAGTTGCAAAAACTAAAGTCTCAAATCCAAAGAGATATTCTTTATAAAACTTAAGAGTCAACCACGCCGCTCGTTCTAACACGCCCCCCACATATCTACGTCACTATGTGGAAATATTAGCATAATGCCGCCCAAATGTGCACGCAAAGAAAAAAGGCATGGTTTCAGGAACAGCAGTTAGTGTTGATGCAGCCATGTCAGGGAGACGCTGTGTGTTTCAATGCGAAAGCAAAAGCACTTTATTTGGCCTTCCAGAAGTAGATGCAATTAGGAATCATTGGTTAAGATTTATTTACAACAGAACAGCACAACCCAGATGTTCAAATTTGTTTTTTTAACCTAGAAGAGTACAAGGCTGGCTGTGCACAAAGGCTATTTCTAAAAAAAAAAAAAGGGTAAATTCCGACTTTGCTATGACAATCTGGCGCTTCTGAATCAGCGACTGTAAGTATGTTTTGTTATTAGTTTAAGTATTTGCTATTGACTGTTCAAATGCGGAGTTTTGCGCAGCACAGAGAAACACGTCGTGTGTGTGTGTGTGTGAGGGGAACAGTGAACCTAGGAGAGGAGGTCATTCTGACTTTGCTATGACAATCTGGTATTTGCTATTGACTGTTCAAATGCGGAGTTTTGAGCAGCGCAGAGTAACGCGTCGCATGTGTGTGTGTGAGGGGAACTGGGTCACACCACAGGAGAGTGAACTGTCTGTCAGAAATCATAGCACGTCAGCTGTCTTAACCGCGGCTTGTGTACTGCATCATCACTGAGTCTGTCACGCGACTCTGTTGCCCTTTCGGGCTTGAACTGATGGTAAAACTAACAACATTATTAACTGTCTTGATATTTACTTTGAAAGCTGAAGTTTGCGATTATGGTAAGAGGCGTTACATTTCCGACGCATGCTTGTGGTGTTCGGCCAATCACAATGCACTGGGTCAGCTGGTCAATCAGAGCAGAATGCGCTTGTCAAAGGAGGGGGCTTTGTTGAAAACTACGTGTTTGAGAGAGGCGGGGCATAGAGGACCTACAATAATGTACAGTATTTGAAAAATAATGTGTTTTTTGAACATTAAAGCATGTCAACATATTCTGTTACACCAAATACACAAAATAATGATCTTTAAAATAGCATCATATGACCCCTTTAAAATCGATTCCCAATACGCAATAACACCGCTTCTTATGAAAGATGCTACTTTGGAGGTTTGGAAAGCAAGTCAGGTTGGATTTGCACTTCACACTCATCCAGTTCAGAATGACACAACTGGAGAAGGAAAAGGAGTGAAGAAACCTCCTAGGAATGGGAATGGGAGTTGATCTGCGGGGTTTTTTTCTTGAAGGGTGGAACGAAGGAGCGGGTGGAAGGGGAAAAGCGGTGATCCTGCGCGCTGCCAGATAGCGCTCCAACGCTAATGCACCTCGCCAGCATCATGACGACAGGCTTTTACATTTAATTACTGTTAACCAGACGTCCTTTCATTCTCACAGCAAAGAAAATGTTATCATGAAAATGAGCCCACAAATATGACTTTGTCTAGCTGTATATGACTTTCAGATGAATCCAGTCGGAGTTATATTAAAAACTGTCTTTGATCTTTCAAGCTGTTTAATGCCACTCAGCGGGTGTTGCATGCATCAGTCCAAAAGAAGTTAAATAAAAAGCGACCATCCATATAAAAAAAGTGTCTGACGTATGAGGTCAGTGCTGCGCATGCGCCGGTGAGTCTCGTGAAAACCAATGTTTGTTTACAGGAGCAAAGGAAGCAAAGTTTCCTTACTTTAGCAAAGGAAAACCAGTCTCCTCTTGGCTTATATCGAAATCCTCCGGCATTCTTCTTTACAAATCCTCATTTTGTACTTCTAATTAGTGACTGTTGTTTTGTTTTGATCTCTCCGCCGCTTCCGTGTTCGTCACTTCTGAGCGGCACATGCGCAGCTAGTTGGTTAAATAAAAATATTTGGACTTTATATTTAAAAATCACCTTAAGCTAGCATCAGGTAGGCCTAACTAGTTTGGTAGCAAGTTGGCATCAGCTAACAATTTGTTTTTTCAAATTATACTTTTTCATAATTTCATAATTATTAATTATATTCTTTTTCATTTTAAGCTAAAACTGCCTGCACTCTGATTTTGCTGTAAATGCATGAAGCAAATTGCTTTGTCTGGGGGGCATTTTACTCCACCTGTGGGGCAAAACGCCCCCTTGGTACAAATACATTTTTATTAAAAATCTAATAACATGAAAACGCTGGACATTTTTCATACTTGGTTCATATTATGTCAGTGTCCCTAAAACTATTATAACTCTTCTGAACACTTTTAACTTTTGTTTCACAGAAAAAAAAATACATACTTATAAGGGGGGCGTTTTCCCCCACTCTACCCTTCTATTTTTTCCCCCATCCCAGACATCCTCAGTTATGACTGATTGGCACATAAACAGTGGCAGTCTGAAGTATTACACCAGCCAACATTCTTCACCCGTCACCTCAACCAGATCACAACAAACACCCGCATCACCGCCCACAAACCCGAGCGGCGGCGGTCGGTGGGTCACTTACAGAGTGTGCGTGTCGGTCGGTAGGTCTGACGCCGCTGGGGCCTGATCCAGCCCGATGCTGGAACAATTAACCACGCACGAGTTTTGCGGTCCCACCGCCGAGCAAGAGCAGTTACCCGGACACGGGCTGCAGGCTCTCCCGTCTGCCGCGACGCCCGAGCGCGCCTCCAGGCAGCAGAGCGCAAAGAGCAGACTGGAAAATAATCCAAACTTTGGGAGGCAGACGCCATGTTTTCGCTTAAACACAATCTGTCCATTTCTACAAGGCATAGCTCACTCGCATCTCATCGCCCCTTCTGTCGGGGAAGTTTTCCTCGGGGCGCGTTGAGGAAAGTTCACTCTTTTCCCAGTTTTTCCATAAGAGAAACGGCGTAGAAAGCGTCGCAAATCGCGTTCCCCCCCCCCCAAGTTCGCTGACGTCCCCCCTCTATTCCTCCGTTAACGGAACTGGATTCACTTCTTCTCCAGAGGAGGGGAAAAACTCTGGATTCTGCTCTGCCAGAAGTTCCTGAAGAACTTCCTCTCGTGCGCCCATCCTGCAGCGCCGCTGCTCTCCACTGGATGCACAACACCAGCTACTGATTATTAGGCAGGCTATACCCAATCCATTACCACAGCTAGATGTTTTAGACTTGATCTTTGACTTGATTTAGTTATGGCACAACTTTTCTACTATGCGGCCCATTTTATTGTTCATATGCATAGAGACCACGCGCACTCATAAATGCATTGGATGATGTAAAGGCAAGTGGCATGATAGAGAAACATCATCCTAATATTGTTCACCAGGTGCAGAACTTTACAATTGTGACATTAAAACCTGGTAATTTTTTTTTTTTTTTAATATTGCAGTTGTTTCCGTTTTCAAGCAATATTATTTTGAATTGGTGATGTCTTCAATAGCATTGTCTGTTGATCTTATGTAATATTTTATTGTTTGCAATAATGACAGTTTCTTAATGACAGCCAGGAAGGGGCATAATTTTTGGTGACAAAACAACATCCTAAAACATCATTTTATAATAATTAAATTTTTTACAAAATGTAGCTAATTTTAGAGCTGCCAAAGCTAGTGTACACCAAATATGTTTAACATTAAAAAAAATTTTTTTTACTGCACATTCAATAAATTTACCATTTTGTTCCGCTACTAAAGACTGGTTAGAAATCAAGATATTAATTCCAGTTATTTCATATATTTTATTAAATTTTTTATTTTTTATTTTTTATTTTTTTATTTATCTTCATAAAAAAAAGAGATATTTAAGTGTTAATTTCACATATGCTGTCAACTTAATTAAAAGTAAATATTTTCCAAATAACAGTTTGTTTTAGTATGCATGACAATGTAAAAGCCAATTATTCATTTTTGGGGATTTTTGATTTAGTTCTCTTAAGTTAATATTTTAAGACTTTTTGACACATTTAATATTTCCCTCACACAGTATAAATGGATTTAAACACATAAAGATATACAACATGTAGCATCAAAAAGTTTGAAAACCCTAAAACCTGTCAGAACGAATATGATGTCCTCTTAGAACAATGCTTTATCTCCATATTTCTATTCTGTTCATTTTCTTGCTGCTGTATAAATAATCAAGTCATAATTAATAGCTACAGCTTAAGAATCTGAGTTTGACCAGAGCATTTCTGAGAGTCTGATATTCCCTTTTATAGGAATACACTTTAAAATTACAACACAAGCATATTAATTTTTTAAAAGAAGGTTCAGAAGGTAATGATCCTGAAATAACTCTGCAGACATGAATAAACTATAGCCTTTATTTCTTATCTTTTCCTTAGGGAAATTTTCCAAATATGGCTAATTCATCATTCATGCACATTGTTTTGCACTAACCAGAGCAAATTTGATCTCTGGCAGAATGTGGATGAATTATTCAGGTCTTGATGGGGTATGTTGTGTGTTCAAACTCTAGGGGAACCGTAGAAGAAGTCTCAGATCTTCACATCATCTGAATTAGTGCTGGACTGGAACAAAACCCAAGGATGCAACTAAATATTCAAGACTTGAGGAGACTAAATATACAAGTCATTGAAAAACACACATGGCTGCTTACACACTGTAAAGTTTTAGGAGTGACAACCTTATTTAAATAAGCTGCAGAAGTGAATTATCGTTTCGTGTGTGTACGGCACAGAACTCACTCTCGAAACGGCAATAATGATTGACACCGTCAGAGCTGGGTAGTAACTGATTACATGTAGTCTGGATTAGCTACGTAATCAGATTCCAAAAATTAAGTATTTGTAATTAGATTAAATTACATTTTAAAATACTTGTAATCAGACTACAGTTATTGATTACATGATTACATATTATTTGCACAATAGCAATAATGTATTCATGATTTATTGATTCTAACTTTTTTTTTCCTTTCTAAAATAGCCTACAAAAATGACTGTGAATTTAACGGTAAGAGACTGTAAAAATGCTACAGTAAAAACCTGTTAAATGGTTAACGGTAAATTCCCCTACTATATTCGGTGAAAAACTGTATTGGACATTCATTTTACGGTAGTATACCGTTTTTGGAAGTAAAATAGGCCGTATAATTTACAGTGAATAACCGTAAATTGACATTCCCAGAATTCCCTGCGTTACATTTCAAATTTGATGTTTTTTTTGATGAAATAACTATGTTTCTTCTTAGATTTTTCTTATCAGTTTTGTATATTAGTGTTGTGTGTTACACCTAATGTTGTTAAATGAATGTTTATTGCATTATTTCAGTTTCATGTGTGTTAGCATGATGGTGTTTAGTGTTTGTGTGAATGACACTGTGCACCTTCTATATATGTTATTGTTGAAAAGCTGCTTGTGATGGGCTTTGGTTCATCATGTGACTTTCTCATCACCTCCTACATTTGGTGGTTATCAGTGTATCACAAGTGTACAAAACAGATTTCAGTACTTCAATAGGTTGGTATATTAACATTATATCAGTTAATGAAAATACGGTATTTCACTGTAAATATAAGTTAAAACTGTAAAACCTAAAATGTTGCTACCATATTTTTTACGGTAAAATTCCGGCAACCACAGCTGCCGGGTTTTTACTGTAGATTTTACAGATTTTTTTTTACAGTGTACAGTCAGAAGGTCTTCCAGTTTTGTAAACATTTACACAGAGATCAGTCATTAGTCTGTGGCAAAGCATTTGACCACTGGGTTTACAAAAATCCTTTCAGGTTTCAACATTGCATCAGCTACTGATAAACACATTCATTTTTATTTGAATTATCAATAAAAGTCGGTTACTTTACGTTGGAAAACGTTTGTCCTTCAAACACATTAAAATGCTCAAATTCACCAACTTGTTTGTCATCTGATCCTCTTTCACATAAGATATTTTTATTTGAAGTACCCCTGAGATTTTAAAATAAATATTTTAATAATGAAGTTGGTTATGGTCACATGACATGCTGGTAAACAAATAAAATGTTGACTTTTTTTCAGTAAATGTTTTATTTTTTATTCATTTTACAATTAGTTGTTTTAATTGAAAATTTTTATGATTGAAATAATTATTATTAGTTTTTCATTAAACTCATAAACCCCCTGCAGCTCCTGCACAAACCCAGTTTGGGAAACTTTGACATATGATAATGTTTAATGCATTTCATGTTGTTGATATTTTCTTGCTCTTTGTATTTTTATATCAATATGGTACAAGTTTATCCTATTTAAATCAATGTGAAAAACGAGATGGGTCAGAAGCAATCTAAAGGTAATCTAAGTAGTCTGATTATATTAACCTAAAATGTGTAATGTAATGGATTACGGTAGGCTACTAACTACAATTTTTTTCATGTAATTTGGAATCAGTAACAAATTACAATTTGTAAGTAGGCCTAATCTTCCCAGCTCTGAACAACATTACAACCATAGCAATGTACTTGCTGCTATTTTTGACCGAAGTAATATTACCGCGACCAAAGAATCGTTATGTTCAGTGATGTTAACTAAACCACCGTCCTGTTTTATGGTTGGAAGTCTGCTTTGCAGAGCGCGTATATGTCCATGTATTATAAGCGACACTTATTAAGCATCTTTGGACATGTTGTTTGGGCTCGGCTCATAAAGCAATCCATTTTATGGAGGTAGCTTTATAGGCTTATTCTCATTTGCCGTTTTTTATGTCAAAATCTGGCAACACTGAGTCAAGAGGTGATTTCTTGCACAACTCTGACATGCGTTTAAATACGTCATTAACTACCAGTGCTGGGTAGATTACTTACAAATTATAGTCCATTACTGATTACAAATTAGGCCCTATATAATGAAAGTGTAGTCATTAATGTTATCTAGATAACTCATTTTAGCTAATGTATTCTGACTACGTTTGGATTACTTTTAGATTACTTATGACCATTAACCAGCATCAGAGAACATGCAAATGTGTTGATAAATTATTGAAATATTAACTTTAAATATCAGGTGGACTTCAAGTAAATATTTTAATTGAAGTACCCCTGAGATTTTAAAATAAATATTTTAATAATGAAGTTGGTTATGGTCACATGACATGCTGGTAAACAAATAAAATGTTGACTTTTTTTCAGTAAATGTTTTATTTTTTATTCATTTTACAATTAGTTGTTTTAATTGAAAATTTTTATGATTGAAATAATTATTATTAGTTTTTCATTAAACTCATAAACCCCCTGCAGCTCCTGCACAAACCCAGTTTGGGAAACTTTGACATATGATAATGTTTAATGCATTTCATGTTGTTGATATTTTCTTGCTCTTTGTATTTTTATATCAATATGGTACAAGTTTATCCTATTTAAATCAATGTGAAAAACGAGATGGGTCAGAAGCAATCTAAAGGTAATCTAAGTAGTCTGATTATATTAACCTAAAATGTGTAATGTAATGGATTACGGTAGGCTACTAACTACAATTTTTTTCATGTAATTTGGAATCAGTAACAAATTACAATTTGTAAGTAGGCCTAATCTTCCCAGCTCTGAACAACATTACAACCATAGCAATGTACTTGCTGCTATTTTTGACCGAAGTAATATTACCGCGACCAAAGAATCGTTATGTTCAGTGATGTTAACTAAACCACCGTCCTGTTTTATGGTTGGAAGTCTGCTTTGCAGAGCGCGTATATGTCCATGTATTATAAGCGACACTTATTAAGCATCTTTGGACATGTTGTTTGGGCTCGGCTCATAAAGCAATCCATTTTATGGAGGTAGCTTTATAGGCTTATTCTCATTTGCCGTTTTTTATGTCAAAATCTGGCAACACTGAGTCAAGAGGTGATTTCTTGCACAACTCTGACATGCGTTTAAATACGTCATTAACTACCAGCGCTGGGTAGATTACTTACAAATTATAGTCCATTGCTGATTACAAATTAGGCCCTATATAATGAAAGTGTAGTCATGAATGTTATCTAGATAACTCATTTTAGCTAATGTATTCTGACTACGTTTGGATTACTTTTAGATTACTTATGACCATTAACCAGCATCAGAGAACATGCAAATGTGTTGTTAAATTATTGAAATATTAACTTTAAATATCAGGTGGACTTCAAGTAAATAT